CTCTATTTGAGAATGTTTGATTCGAAGTCCTTTGCTCTATGTCTTCTCTTCCTTTTAATTCCCTTGATGATTTCTTCGTAATCAACCGCTTAGAAACTGCTTAATTACTTTATAACTGTTCACTTTTTTCATGGTGGCCAACTTATTGTGGAACTGCCGTCTCTAACTGCTGCCACTACTCTTTGTCGTTCAACCGTCTTCAACTGAACTCCTTGAATCGTGGAACGTGATAAGATTACTCAATAACTGCTTCGATAACTGCACTTTTGGATAACCATAACATCTTATATTTGCTAAGATCCTGGACGATTCAAAGGTTTGGGCGAGAACAGGGTCATAACTCTGGGCGACTGCAAGACACTTCATTCGCTCAGATCTTGAGCTTCTTGCAAGTTTGGGCGATGGTGTTACCGCATTCGTGGGCTTCCACTGCATTCATTAATAATCCTATTTGGGCATTTATCCTGAATTGCCCAGTTGGGCTTCATTCTTTGGGCTATTTGATTTGGGGATTCCCTAATTGGGTTTCATTCCTTGGGCTATTCGATTTAGACTACACTTTTGTGTGTCAACAACATGATTTTTCATTTCAAAGAGTTATATGATAATAATCATGTGTGGAAGGATAGGAGACTTCCAAAAAACTATACCGATGCAAAGTGACAAAAAAATCTTCAGTCAATCCTCATGTACTGAAGATGATTGACATGAGAAGTGTCTCAGTTGAGTTCAATCATTAACTACGAACTAAGTATTGACTTAGCTCTGCAATCTCTGTCATAGAGTTATTCATACTAATTATTAATTATGATATGAATTAGCTCGAATGCATACCCATTAAGTTGCTTAACATGCTTAGGACTGTTAAGCCCTTTATTAAAATTGGTAGTGGGCAAATCATTGATTCCTCTAAGAGTGTTAAGAGGAAATATAAAGGGGCTTTAAGAAAGCATTCAATATGATTAAGACAGTCTGAGCAAAGGACAATACCAAATCTAATAGCCCTTATCTTTATTATAGAATGAAAGGTCATTGGAAGAAATATTGCAAGGCTTACGTCTACTTCATTTGTTTCTTAGGTATTTGGTACTAGATATGGAGAAACTAAATGGAAGTATACCACTACAAGAGGGAGAAGTTAATCTACACGTTGAAGATGAGCAAAGGTTGCCGCATTACCTATAGGAGCATACTTCTTGCCGTTGCCTTTTGGCTTAGTATTGAAATTAGAGGAATGTTGCTTTGTACCTACTATAACTGGAATATTAAATGAATTTCATGTTGGGACATGAACTATTTTAATGTTAAGGACAGTTGTTGTTCTTGTTTATCTTGATAAAGATCCTAACGGTTATGATAAATTACAAAACGACGTATATATTCTTTAATACTAAGCATTTTATAATGAATATAGAAGTTAAGAGGTATAAAAGTGATAATCTAATTATTACCTAAATATGGCATGGTAGATTTTGTCATATAGATGAAATGCAATTCTAAAGTTACATAAAGATGTATACTTGGGATTAATTGATTTTAATAAGTACAAATTATGCATGTCTAGCACAATGATCAAATCTTCTTTTACTTGAAAAGAAGAAAGGTCAGCATAATTACTGGTCTAATGCATAGTAATGCATATGGACTCATGTCAATTGATGTCAGGTAATGTTTCTCTTATTTCATCAATGATCATGTACACTTGATGAAATTCAAATATGAAACTCTTGAAAAGTTCAAAGGATTCAAACTAGAAGTAGAGAAACAAATAAGTAAAGATACTCTCTCATTAAGATTCGATCGAATGGGAATATCTTAAAGATAAAATTTAGATTATCTAAGAGAGAATGAGATTCTCTTGAAGTGGACTCCTCCATATACACTGCAGTATAGTGATGTATCTAAAATGAGGAATCGTTAACTATTAGATATAATGCGATTAATAACAAGCTATGCAAATCTTCCAAAATTGTTTTGGGGTCATGCATTGATTGCATTGTGCAACATACTAAATCATATGACATCTAAGTTGGTTAACAGAACTCCATACGAGTTATGGAAAGGCAATAGTCCCAATTTATCTCATATGAAAGTTTGGGACTGTAACACTTATTTGAAGCACATTGAATCGGATATATTTGAGTCTAAATCCAATAAGTACATATTTGTGGAATATTTAAAGCAGATATTTGAATATAAATTCTATTATCATGATGAAAGTCTTCGTCTCACGAAATCTTATCTTCTTAGAGAAAATGTTTACTCTATGGAAGGATAGTGGGAGCAAAATAGAACATGAAAGAGTTCAAGAGTCCACAGATTTAGTTAGCCAAGTAGATGAATCCAAGTTTGATCCCATATCTGATCTGGGACATACTCTTGATCAGGAAATAGAGACTTTTGAGAACATGACAGCTCCATTTAAATCTAGTAGGATCATTCGACCTTGAAGAAGGTGCGAATTCACAATTACTAATCAGGTATTACTGATCCAGGATGATGAACCTACTAATTGCACAAAAATAAAGTCAAGTGTTGACTTAAAAGAGATGGCTAGAGGCCATGAAACTTGAGATGAACAAATGTATGAAAACAAGGCTTGGACCTTAGTCGACCCTTTTGATGGGATAAAACCCATATGTTGTAAATGGTTTACAAGAAAAATATCGACATGGATGGGAATATCCATACATACGAAGCAAGGCTAGTGGCAAAGGTTAAGTGTTGACCTTGGTGAAACTTTTCTCCTATAACTTTGCTGAAATCTCATATTTTGGTTACAATAGTTGCATACCGTGACTATGGGTTAAAACAAGTCTCTTGGAGCTGAAATCTTCGATTTGATAAGAAAATCAAAATGTTGATTTTATCAAATATGAAGACGAATTGTGTGTTTGTAAGAAGATAGTGGGAGCATTGTCGCATTTCTAGTATTGTAGAAAACGACATCCCTATTCTTCAATCGGAAATAATGGTTGTCAAAGGATTTATTCATGTATGGGAGAAACAACTTGATCTATAGAGATAGATCTAGAAGATTGCTTAATTCATCCCAATCAGCATAGATAAAGTCTTGGGAAGATTTTATATTGAGAAAATGAATTACTTTTAAGCGGTGTGTTGGAATAGTTCCAAACGTGAAACAACCGTTGGTTCATTGGCAGAAACATAATACACGATTGCTTTAGAAGCAGCAAAGAGTTGCAATGTGGATCAAGATGTTTAATAATGAACTTGAGTAGTTATTAATATTGTTGATCACATGTCATTGCATTGTGATAAACATAGAGCCACCGCGAAAGCGAAGGAACTAAGGTCTCATCAATGATCCTAACATGTATTAAGGCGATATAATCTCATCAAAGAGATAATGTATAGAAATGACGTGAAGAGAAGAACGAATTCTCACAATTAATTGCAGATCCATTGACAAAGAGTTGTCACAGTATAGACATGATCGTCACGTAGACTCTTATGATATTGGATACATAAGTAATTGGATCTAATGCAAGTGGGAGTTTGTAAGTGTTATGTCCTAGGTCTAATCAACCTTGGATATAAATATTCTTAATATATAATTAATGCAGTTTAATGGCAGATCTATTATTTAATAGACAATTAAATTAAATAATAGAATCCGTAGATTCAAATCTTCGTGATTTGTTAATCACAAAGAGTTGTGATTGTGAGATATAAATTACATATGATTGAATCTTAAATCGTTCGTGGTTGTAAGTAATAACGAGATACAGATATCGTTATTACGGATAAACCATCACATGTGGCATTTCTTACTTGTGAAATAAGTAGCTGATCTCATAAACTAAAGTGTGGTGATACTTAAATGAACACGTGGATATTTTGTTATAGAACAAAACATTGGAGACCCATCGAGAGATTCCACATAGATAACTATCTGAGTATCAGTGGTTAAATTCTTATGTTCGGTAGTGGGATTGGTTATTTGACTTGGGGTCGTCATAATATCTTATATGAGGACACTTATGCTTTGACGGTGTTGGATGTTACTCTGCCAAGGGCCGCTAATACGACATCGTTCCGGTATGTCAAGAATCGTATGAAGATTGTGAATGATCAATAGATGATTCGTCACTCTTACATAGTAGGAGATTATGATATGCGTTTCATTCAATTAAGTCGATAACGAAATCCTTGGCTAAGGTATACTCATAAGTCGAAAAGGAGTTTTCGACTTATATTGACTTAATTAGTGGAGTGAAATATATAATTGATATTCGGGATTGACATACTTCCATATCTCGTAATTGATCGGATCATATTGACGAAGAGATTATAGTTTCATGGTACATGATATTCCCCGTCACATATATTACCCTGACACATTGCTAGATGTCAATTTGGGACGGCAAGTGTGAATTGGTAATAAATTAAAAGGGTGTTTTAATTTATCAATTTTGATTAGATCAAAATAATATTTCACGTCGTTGGGTATCGTGATCGGGAATCTGATGGGTCGCACACAAAAGAGAATTGAAAGATTGCAATTTGTCAATTAATTAATTTAACAATCGTTGGATAAATTAATTAATTTGGTTGGTTATTTATAGGCCTGAATTAATTAATTGGATTAATTAATTAACGGACCGAATTTAATTAAATGGATTAATTAAATATTGGACCGGACCAGGTCTGTTTGGGCTTATATAAATACATGTCTAGGGTTTTCAATCCATATAGTTTTCTCATGATTTTTTTTGCTAGCACAAGAGGAAAAAACCCTTGTAGCTGCAATCTGTTCTCTGTGTGGATCATCGTTGGATGCTGGACAATTGGACAGCTGTGGGTGGCAGATCAAAGCTGCTGGAACAAGGGAAAAGCAAAGAAGTTTGCAGATCTTGTAAAATGTACAGTTTTTATCCCAATTTCAATTTAAACACAGATAAATCTTGGTGGGAATCAAAATTTGTTTTAATTTTCGCTGCGCACGTTAAATAGATTCCCAACAAGCACTGCATGAGGAGGCTGTTCTTTCTTTTACTACAATGAATGAGGTTGGCAGCAGGCCAACAATTGAGACTTTTAATTCTATGATTCATATGTTTGCTAAAGGGGGTCCTTACAAAGAAACTGAAGCAATCTTGTATAGGATGGGTGAGTTGGGTTTCCACCCAATAGCGATTCATTTAATGGTTTGATCGAAGGATATAGGCAGGGAGGACAATTTAAACAGGCCATCAAAGCTTATGTTGACATGGAAAAGTCGAGATGTTCTCCCGATGATTATACCCTTGAGGCAGTCTTGAGCGTATACTGCTTTGCAAGTCTTTTTTGAGGAGCAGTTTCGGGAAATTAAGGAGCTGGGTATACAGCCCAGTGTCATGTGCTACTGTATGATGCTCGCTGTATATGCAAAGACTGACAGGTCAGACTTCAATTGGCTGTTGTTAGATTATTCATTCATTTTTAAAATGCACATCACTACTAAAAAATAGAGCTTCAGGCACGGATTTTCTGTTCCTAAAGCCTCAATATCCATTGCTAATAATTTTCACCAATTGAATATTTGAAACCACAAATCCGTTGGTAATTTGAGGGTCGCTGATAGTTACCAATAGATCGTGCCGTAGGTAAAGAGTAAATATATTACCAACGGATAAAGTGTAAATCTTTTACCAACGAAATTTCCGTTGGTAAAAGTCTTAACCAATACAAACCAACTTTCTATTGATAAATGTCTACGATTACAATTGGTAAAAATAAATGTTGTAAATAATCGTATGGTAAAAAAATTATTTATTTATTTATTTATTTATTTATTTATTTATTATTATTATTATTTAATAATTATATATTTTTTTAAATTTTTAGCCAACTGAATTGAAAGGCCAAAATATTATTTAACTCCTTATTGGACCAAAAATTTATAGAGGGCAACTACAAAGATATTGTTGTAAACTTCCGATGTGGGATAAGTGAATTATTTTTACCAACGAATAATCCATTTCTAATTACCAAAGGAATATTCGTTGCTGAAAGATCAAAATATTAAACGGTTATATTAGGCACGGAATATCCGTTGGTAAAGAGATATCATTTTTACTAACGGATAATCCGTTTCTAATTACCAACAGAATATCCGTAGGTAAAAGGTCAAAAATGTTAAACGGTTATATTAGACACGGAATATCCGTTAGTAAAGAGATATCATCTTTACCAACGAAAAATCCGTTGCTGATTATTGTAGTTAAAAGTGAATTACTTTTAGCAACGGATAATCCGTTTCTAATTACCAACGGATGCAATCCATTGGTAATATTCGGTATATCACCTACGAAATATCCGTTGGAGGAAGATCCAAATGTTAAACTGTTACATTAGGCATGTAATATCGATTGGTAAAGAGATATCATCTTTACCAACGGAAAATTCGTTGCTAATTATCGTAGCTAAAAGTGAATTACTTTTACCAACGAATAATCCGTTTTTATTTTCCGTAGGTGAAAAGCTATTTTTTAGTAGTGTATTTGTATTAATATTGTGTTATCTTTAGTTATCCTATTAACTGAATCAGAAGAACTAACACAATATTTTCTTTCAAATATTCATAATTTATCCCTCTCTTATATACTGCAAACCAAGATAACTTCTCGGTGCATGTTTTCTTGATATTTTATTAGGCTTTCTACAAGTTTGTATATGGGTTTGTCCTCTTTGTGATGCAAAGTCAATTAAACCTTACTGACCTGTCAAAAGGATACTGTCCTCATTTCCTAGTATATATTCTTAATGGATCTGTTGAAAAATTAGAACTTCAGTGAATGAGTTGAGTTTGTGAATGTTTCTGCCGTGGTAATACTTGTTGAACCTAGCTCTGAGTTGAAGTTTTGTAGGGTTTTAAATTGTTTTGTATTGTTTTTTATGCTTTGAAGCACTATTTCATTGAAATTCTCTGAGTAATAAATACAACGGGATAGTACTTTTCATCTCTTTTTGTCAATTTTTTTTTTTTAAAATCTCGAATTTCTTATTTTCAGACGGGACAAGGCCAATGAATTATTAAATGAGATGCTTACAAACAGGGTATCCAATATTCACCAGGTTATTGGACAGATGATCACGGGAGATTTCGATGATGCCAGTAACTAGCAGATGGTAGAGTATGTCTTCAACAAACTCAATTCCAAGGGCTGCAGCTTGGGGATGAGGTTCTACAGTACACTTCTAGAAGCACTTTGGTGGCTGGGTCAGAGGAAAAGGGCTGCAAGAGTGCTGAATGAAGCAACAAAGAGGGTCTATTTCCTGAACTATATCGTAATTGTCTGTGGATGTTCACAGGTATTAATGGTTTTACAATTGACTTTCTTTCTTCAGAGGATAAAAAAAAGTGAAATATAGATTATTTATGTTGGTGCCGCAATATTCATAACGTGCTTCCTGGGTTTAATGTTCATTGTATAGGATGTGGCCCGGTGGTGCATGCACAGCAATATTAGACTGGCTGAATAATACGCAAGAGATGTTAATAAACAGGGAGGATCTTCCTCAGCTGGTGACTGTCGTCGTGGTGTAAGTTTTTTCCTTAGTTAACAGTATCCTCTTCAGTTTTGTTTTCTCTTTTCGTAATCTAGTATGTTCATCTTTCTGGGAGTGGTCAGGGAAGAGGTGTGCTCTTAGATTCTATCTATTGGAACTACGTCTAATGTACTTGTGCTCCAGTTACTGGTTTGTAAAGGATTAGAGAGTTGAATCCTGATGAATGTGGACGGTTGTGCCCTCATTTTGGGATGTCTTATTTATGGTTTACTCGTTGCAAATTATGAGGATTTACACGACTCCCTAATTTGTACATGTGCAATGTCTAATAAGGCATAATCAGTATTGAGGCTTTTTCCTTCGTGAGGTGAGACATAATCCTGGAAACCAAAAAATTGTAAAAGAATTATTGAAATGCAAAATAAGCTCATAATACATCATTAAAAAAAAAAATTACTAGAATAACAATTTAAGTGTGCAAACAAACAAAAGAAATATTTATAAAGAAACTATTTTTTTAGTTGGTGGGGGCAGTGGACTATTCCCAAAGTGTGTCTATGATGAACACAATTTTTTATGTTTTAGGGGGTAGTGACTATTGTCAAAATTGTCAATCAAAATTTTCATGTTTTTTGGGCCACAAGCCTTGAGGCATGTGCCTCACACAACTATGACATAAGCCTCCAAAAACTGCCTCACTATCAGTGCAAAAAAAGCCTTACTTTGAGGCAGGCGTTAAGGCGGGTTACAATTGGGTTTTTTTATGATGTGTGAGTGTGTTTGCTAAGCTTAAAAGTTACTTTTTGGGGCTCCTCATGGGGTGGTCGAGTTGATAAAGTGGGTGAGCGCGAAAGATTTTGGTTAGGAGTTCAATTCCCCCTACCAATATTTTCTCGATCGAGCCTGTCGTACCGTACTTGCCTAGTGAATCTTACCAGGCTGACGTGGTTTGCAAGTTATTGCATCAGCCAGAGAGTTTACCCAGTGTGCGCTCGAAGGACAGCAGCTGCGGATTTACTGTCATTAAAAAAAAAAAAAAAAAAGGGTACTTTTTGCGTCACTAAAATTTCTGTTTTCTGTAATAACTTCTCCTTAATGACATTATTCTTCTGTGTCAAGCAGACGGTTACAGATGGAGAAGAGCTCAATAACACGAGATTTTCCTGTTGCAAAGGCTGCCTATTCTTTGCTGAAGGATAGTGTATCATCAACCTTTTGTTTCCCTGGTTGGAACAAGGGCCGAATTATCCGTCAAAATTCTCAGCTTAAACGCATTCTCTCTAGTACTGATCCATCATCAGAAGTATCAGATATGAATAAGATAGTCGCTCTAAGTAACTCCTCTTTTCCTCGTCTGGAAACAAAAACATCCATGGGTGAATTTAAGCAACGTAGCAGCTCTGAGACTGAAGTAAGGATTCGGACAAATACAGAATTAATGCCAAGTGCAGCGTGAAGGGATATATAGAATTTGCGGTCCCACTTTTAGGTCCGTCAACTTTCCTTGGGCTTTTGCAAACTACTTTTGAAAGAGTAACTGAAGAAACTGAGGGATTTTCTGAGAACGCTATATTCAGGTGATCCCTAAGAATGAGCTGACGGTGTATATCGACCAGGTGAAGAAGTCCACTTCTTTCTGACCAAACGCAGCACTGATCTAAGGTTGGTGAAGCTTTATAGGGCTGATTGCTTACTAAATCAAGTATTGTTCTATGGCTTAGTGGCAGGAAATCTAAATGACATTATAACATTTGGCCTTTCGTTACCCCCACACAAGTGTTCATGTGTATATATATTCTTATGTTAACTCTTTTGGATATTTTAGAGACTAATCTGATGTGAAAGAAGCAATCTTAATATTCCTGTGTCAATTTTTGTTGGAATCTCGACTAAAAACTGATATTGGCAACGTCACTCATCAGTCGATGCGTTCACGCTTAAGTTTGAGATCGGCTAAATGATGTTTTGTTCTCAATTCCGCCTGGTTCATTGGTGCTGCGATGAAATGTGTACAAGACTATGCCATGGGATGCTTGGGCTATGAACATACAATAATTGTATTCTTTTATTTGAAATTAGAGGCGGACTATATAAAAAATAGTTGGAAGAAGGTCATAACATGAAAAGCCTTAATTCTTTCAAAATGTTACAGAAAGTCGAAAATCTTCATCATAAGAAGGGATCAAATTTCCACAAAAGCAGCTCGCAAGAATAGTCGTATTTACTTGGTTCTAATTAATCACAAACTCATATTCATAAAATAACTAGAGGATTCATACTATTTTTTTAATCAGATTAAGAGCATGTTCGATACACAATATTATACATACGAGAAAGTACAAGAAAAAGGCATAAAAGTTGAAGAAACTCCCGTACAATAGTGAAAAACTAGTGTTGTTATTACATTCTTACATAAGGTGGAGGCGGCATTATATAAGTAACAACATTTGGTGTTTCCTTAATTCTGTCTGTTTTTCTCGTGCACTTTCCTAATATATTCTGAAGCCTTTTCATCTATATACTTTCCTCACCAGTTGGCTCAACCAGTTAAGACATTATGGGCTTTTTTGAGTTAGTCTGTGGTTTTGGACCGACCGGTCCCAGTTTCAAGACTTATCTTGGCTATAGAAATGGATGACAGTATTTTCATGGATTTTTGGCAGAGGGACTCGTTGGTTTTGCCTTTATTTTTCATGGCTTGCAGAAAGCAAATATTGTTGGATAATTTAATACTTTAAAATGTCGGATCTTTCATGTTAAATCATCGAGAAATATAATAATTAAAGCGGAAGCATACCTGAATCTGACATGGTTAATGCAATATGGATTTCGCGGTATGATCTTCCAAATCTACACGCAGTCTCCTTTCCTCTCTGTGATGGGATGCAGTAGAGAATGAACAATTCGTTTCGTTGCGTGTGATCTGGGGACCATAACCTATTTATATGAGGATGCCCTTTGACCTAATTCGGCCCATCATAGAATTAGGACTTGGGCCCGGTCTCTACACATATGTAAACCCATACTTTAATTGGATACATTAAAGCCCAAAACCGAAACCTTATTAGATCACTTTAATCGGGCTCAACCGAATTCGATAGCCTATAATTTAACACACAATTATTCACACATACAAGCTCATCTTTAATTAAAAGTCCTTACAATCTCCCACTTGGGCTATATGTGTCACCTTATAATTGTGCATTAAACATAACCTTATG